CAGCTCAGGCACCATCTTCTACATGAAGCCTTTCTGAATCTCTCCCCTACCCCACCAACTGCTGGCACACTTCCTTCAAAATCACCTTGTATTTAATTACTTTGTATCCGTTTGTATTTATTCACTTTATGGTTAGGCTATATGTGTATAGTTATGCTATATATGTGTGTTGTATCCCCCATTAGAATATATGCTCTTTGTGAATAGGGATTGTCTTCCTTCTTTGTATTTACATCTTAAGCTACCAGCATCATGCCTAGTACATAGTAGGTGTTTCATAAATGCTTGTTGATTGATTAATCTTGATACCAAATCTAGTTCTTCACTAAGCTACACTGCCTAGGGAGGAAAGAGTCAGGCCAGATTCCCTTTCTCCTTCATGGAAGATATCTTCCTCCAGACAGAAGCTAAAGATAATACCCAGAAACACTTCAGGGACAAGTTCAGGGAAAGCAGCTTTAATAGCTGCCAGGCTGGGGCCCTATCTTTGTAACTAAAAACAAATGAGATATATAGTGGGGGGATTGTTGCCTGACCACATCTGCTCCAGGGGAACTATATTTGTGTCTCTCCAAATAATTTGGAATTAAGTTCACCAACCCCTCCACCCAATCTACCAATTAGATTCTCACTGATGTTATCATTCAGGCACTTCTCACAGATGCTAATGAACATTCCCATTGGCCCTGTTATCAGGACATCATTACATGGGCTTTCCAGAGCAACAAATGATTTCATTCATAACTACGAATTCTTGGCCTTCCCTGGCACTTAGCCAAAGGGTGGAGTGAGCGTGGATTGTAAACACAAGTCTATCATATACCATCCCTTTTACTGAAGGCCCAGTTCTCTTCCACTAAACCCTTTAGCAAGGAAAAATGTCTACTGAGTGGAAACTAATTTGAATCAGAGAAGGCTGCCTCATAGGCTTTATGTAAATCCTTCCTCTAAATTTTTGTATAACCTGGATGGAAAAAACAAAGGAAGAGAGGGAGAGAGTTTTCCTGACCAGTACAGGAATATAGCCTCCAGTGGATGCGATTCTGAATCAGATGCCAGAGAACTGGAAAAGCAATGGCCTATTCCCTGTTTGGGTCCTGAAGTCAGGACCATTGTGTACTTACTGACCAGTACTCAAAAAAGAATGGAGGATGAGGGAAGCATTTCCTGAGGACAGAACTGTTCTTTCCACCTTTTTTTTTTTTCCATAATGACATCTCTAGGCCAAAATCTGAAACCCTTATAATAGCCACCTCACAACCTCTTAACTGGAACATTGTTAGAGGCAGGAGTTCCTTTCCTCTTTTGGATTCTTCCCCAGAGAAAAGAGAAGAAACTAGAAACGAGATACTAGAGTGGGTATGTGTGGGCCTTCCTTTTTTTGTCCACTTGAGCATACTTTGTATGGCAGGTAGAACGCTGGATTTGGATTCAGGAAGACTTGGGTTCAAATCACATCTCCGACACTCACTAGTTATGTGACCCTAGTTGTTGTTGTTAATAATAGTTAATATCTATATAGTGATTTAAGTTGAGTAGAGTTACATATGTTATCTCATTTGATTCTCACAATAACCCTATGAGATAGGTACTATCATTATATCCATTTTACAGATGAGGATGAAAGGACTTGCCCAGGATCACTCAGGTACTAAGTAGATGAAGTAGGATTTGAACTCGGGTCTTTCTGACTCCAGGTCCAGCACTCTATCCACTGTGCCATCAGAAACTTAATGAGTGTTGAACTAATCCCTGTGGTTTTGTAATTGATCCTCTGCAGATATAGAAATAGGGGTTTGTTTGTTTTTTTCTCCCCAGGTTATATTATGAAAAGAAAAATTTTAAAAGGGATGGATTCTGTATCTCACATGGAGCCCAGGAGAACACTGGCTATATTGCTAGAGGTCATTATAAAAATGGTGCCCAGACCCAGGTTTCAGCATCTAGGTTCCTGAGAGAAACAGGTGTTTAAAGACAAAAAAGGAGAGTCAGCAGAGCCAATTGGACATTATGATTCTCAGGAAAAGGACATTCCTGGAACTTTCCACATAGAGGGAAGGGTGACTCATCCCTTGCATACTCTAGTGAGGCAGGAAACTCTTCCCTAACTGCGTACTTCCATCTACTGTGGTACATGCCTAGATGTCCTGGCTTTGATCTGTCACCTACTCAGATGTCACTAGCTCGGAATCCTCCAGGGACTTTTTCCATCCCAGATAACTGCAGTAACAGGGGCTGTATAATTGTCACTGTGGCACCGTGATCCACCAATAAGCTTCATGATGACTAGCACTTTTATAGCACACTTTAGGGTTTGCAAAGTACTTTACAACATTATTGCTTTTTCTCTGCACAGCAGCTTTTTACAGAAGCATCCATTCCAAACAGTCAGAAAGAATGCCCAAAGCTAAAAGATAGAATGTCTTGTTTGAGGAACAGCCAGGAGGCCAAAGTCACTGGACGGAAGAATACATGTTGGGGATTAAAGTATAAGAAAACTAGAAAGCTAGGAAAGGGCTAGATTATGGAAAGCTTTGAATGCCAAATAGAGCATTTTGTGTTTCCTCTTGGAGGCAGTAGGAAGCCAGTGGAGTTTATTGAGTAGGGCGAATGACATGATTGGACCTGTGCTTTAGGCAAATCACTTTAGTGGCTGAATAGAGGATGCATCAAAGTGGGGAGAGACTAGAGGCAGGTAGAATTGCCAGCGGGTTATTGCGACAATCATGGCTGAAGGTGATGAAGGCTTGTGCTAGAGTGGGCAGTGTCAGAGGAGAGAAGGGAGCATATTTGAGAGATAACTCAGAGGTAAAATCGACAGGTCTTGGCAACAGCTTAGATATGGGGGATAAGAGAGTTCCAGGATGACTCCTGGATAGAAAGCCTGAAGGTCTGGGGGAATGCTGTTGCCTTTCATGGTAATAGGAAATGGACCAGTTCTCAAGTTTTAAAAAAATATTTTGATAATGATCCATCCAAGACAATTTCTAAGGACTTATGATGAAAAATGCTATCCATCTCCAGGGAAAAAACTGATGGAGTCTGAATGCAGATTGAAGCATACTTTTTTAAACTTTCTTTATTTTTCTTGGGGTTTTTTTTGGTCTGTGTTTTCTTTCACAACATGACTAATGTGGAAATATGTTTTGCATGCCTACACATGTATAACCTATGTCAAATTGCTTGCCTTCTCAATGAGGGGGAAAGGGAAGAAGGGTGAGAATTTGGAACTCAGAATTTTAAGAAATGGATGTTAATTATTTTTACATGTAATTGGGGAAAATAAAATATTAAATAAGTAACTCAAAAATATTTTGATGACTATATTTCAATATAATTGAAATTTGTAATCCTGTTAATTTTATTTTATTCATTTAAAAACACGTTTCTGAGAAGGGATTCATATGCTTCACCAGACTGCCAAAGGAGTCCATGATGCAAAAAATGCTAAGAACCTCTGTTCTAGAGATATCTGGTTCATAATCTCCTGAATGTGAAAATATAATCCACTTATTAATTTTATAAATTTAGGAATTAGAGGCCCATCATAGTTAAGTGAATTGGCCTATGTGATACCCCTTGTGTAACATTATTGAACTCTTCATTTAATTCTTCACACGTTTCTTGAGGGTAGAGACCTTTGCCTATGTGGTTCTGTATTCCCCATGATGCCTAGGACAGTGCCTTGTACTTAAATGTACTCAATAAATATGTGCTGTTGGGTTGATCTGAAAAAAAAATCTGACTCTAACACTATTCTTGTGACCTTAGATAAACCTCTCTAAACCAATTTTTCTCATCTTTAAAATGAAGAGGTTGGAATGGCTGAGATCTAAAGTCCCTTCTAACTTTAAATCTCTTGTGATCCTAGGTCTTGTGTGCTATTAAGTTGTTTTTTGAGGTACTATATATCTCAGGAGGTCAAATGGACTTATTTGGCCTTCCCTAGTTGAAGGCCTATATTCTTTTCTTATTAACACGATAGTCCAAAGACTTTATTGGACTGTGTAATTTCCACATTGGAAATAAAAAAAAAAAGCCTAAGTGGATGAGATACGGGATGAGACAGAGAGGAGGTAAAACAAGGAGGGCAGGGGTCATGATAGAGGAAGACAAAACAAGGGCTCTGTGACTTGGGAAATAGGGAAGGAGTGAAGCTCAGGACCTGTAGGCCTAAACTCTTCACCTTCTAGACCAGTGATTCATTGTTCTTAGTAACTAATGCTTTTGCCCTTTAATGAGGTGAGTAAACACACAGGTACAGACTTATTTCTTTATTTTGGCTAAAAAAAAAAGCTATAAGTATGTGTGATTGCCAACCCTGGATTTCTACCTTCTACATCTGTCATATTTAGAGACATAATTAACTGAAACTGTGCCTGGAGCAAATTCAGTTGGGGGTGGGGAACGGGTGCCATGACAATACAGAGACTCAGAGACTCAGAGGAGTAAAGTTTCTTCCTGCGGTCTCTTTAAGAGTCAGGATGGGACCCAGGTCTCCTAACTTGTTCAGTTTGGAGGCCCCTCCCCCACTCCTACCTCCCCAATAATCTGCCTTAACATCTTCCTGATATGTTGCCATGTTGCTGCCTTCCCCCTCCCCCCACAAACCTTCTACCCTTCTTCCTTTTTTTTTTTTTTTTTTTTGCTCTAGAAGCAGAAATCTAATCAATACTAGCATTGCTTTGGGGAAGGGTGCATCATTCGATTGCCCTATGGCACCCCTCACTGTCCCTGTGACTTCACCCTTCCATGGCTGCCAATTCCCCTTTGGAATGTAAGCTCCTTGAGGACTGGGACCATATCATTTTGTATTTGCGTTTAGCACAAGGCTTGGCACACAGTGGGTGCTTTATAAATGATTTTTTAATTAATTCAATATACTTGATAATTACTTAATATTTCATCATAATTACTCTTCCCTAAAGAGCCCTTTGCATTGCAGCATCCTGGAGTCCTCTCGCCAAGTTTCCATTGCATCACTTTGCTGGTTGAATGGGAAGGGTCAGGATAATCCAACGTCTCTGCCTCCTTCCTTCTTCTATCCTGCCAATCCCTACACCAGGGAACACTTAACCCATACCTGCAGGCATCCCAGGTTCTAAGAGAGACTCCTAAGCAGGAGATATACAGGTATTTTGTACCGCTGTGCAGTGGGGAAAAAACCAAGGACTTGATTCCAGAAGACCTGGGTTTGAATCTGGACTCTTACTGGAAAGTCAGAAGATTTAGACCTGAAAGGTATGAATGAAAAAACATTTCTTAAATACCTACTATGTACCAGGAATTATGCTAAACTGCTGGGAACATAAATACAGAAGTGAGAGTCTCTGCTCTTAAGGAGATATATTCTAACAAGGAGCTGCAATATATATAGGGAAACGGTGACCCAGGAGGGTTTTAATGGAGTCACGGGGACTTTAAGTGGGTAGTCTATTGTGATATCATGCATGGCATTTATACTTTTCAGTAGGAGTGATAGCTTTTATCTGATTATTGTAGCAAGAGGTGGAAGGGGGAAAGAGAAGAGTAGATAGATAGATAGATAGATAGATAGATAGATAGATAGATAGATAGATCGATCTACACCTATATATCCAGGGCAATGTGCCCACACTGGATAGGCCCTGGTTTTCTGGCAGATGGTTGGGTGGGATCCGAAGCATAAGGTTGGAGTTGATTAGATACAGCTGGTTCAGAAAGTGTTCATTCACTCACCCACCAGAGTCTGTGGTTTGAAATTTTAATGTGTACTTTATAAATATCTCATTTAATAATAATAATAATAATTTAATCTAATATTAATAATATTTAATTTTATAATAATAGCAAACATGTCTATAGTGCTTATTATGTGTCAGGTACTCTCCTAAGTACTTTACAAGTATTATCTCACTTGATCCTCACAACTACCCTGGGAAGTAGTAAGTGCTATTATTATCCCCACTTTACCACTGAGGAAATGAAGGCAGAGGTTAAGTGATTTACTCAGGGTCACATAACTAGTAAGTGTCTGGGGTCACATTTGAACTCAGGTCTTCCTGACTCCATCCCCAGTGCTCTACAACACCTGGCTGTCTCTAAGAGGACAAAGTCTTGTTCTCAAGAAATATGTAGTCTCCATGTATACATTTATCAGATTGCTTACAGTCCTAGGGAGGGAAAGGAGAGAGGGAGAGAATTTGGAACTCAAAATTAAAAAAAAAGACAAATGTCAAAAATTTTTATGTCATATAAAAATATATTTTTTAAAAAAATGTGCAGAGTCCTGGGGGGATGTGAAAATGTGCACAAAGACATATATCATAAGGTAGAGTGGAGAGATCTAGGAAAAATGCTTTGGAAAATTAAAAAGAGATCACTGCCCACTTGTTGCTACTGACAGGAAGGGACGTTGCCAACCCTAATAATTGCTACAAATATGTTTTGATTTGGCGATCATTTATTGAATACCTTCTATATATCTATCACTGTTCTGGATGTCCTGAGAGATACAGATCATGATATAACAAAGCTTTTAACTTTGAAGAAATTATTCTCTTGTTAATAAAGACATAAGCTTTCAGATAAATCAAGACTACAATAGAAAAAAAGTGGAAAAGAATACCTGATCAATATCAAATCTCAAACTCCGCTATAAAACAGTAATTATTAAAAACAATTTGGTACTGCTTAAGGAAAAGTGATAGGCTAATCAGTGAAATAGATTAGGTAAACAGTATGCTGAAGCAAACAAACATGGTAGCATAGCGTTTGACAAACTCAGAGACCTCAGCAGGAGAAAGATTACTAATTGACAAAACTTGCAAGAAAACTGGATAGCAGTCTGGCAGAAATTATTTTTAGACTAATACCTCACACCATATACCAAGATAAGCTCCAAATGGATATATAACCTAAATATAAAAGGTCATATCATCAACAAATTAGAGTAGAAATCACTTTTGGGATTTATGGAAAAGGAAAGAGTTCATTAATCAGTAAGTGATAGGAAGGACCATACAAGATAAAATAGGTAATTCTGATAATATATAATTAAAGAGTTTGTGCACAAACAAATCTAGTGCAGTTAAAATTAGAAGAGAAACCTTTGTAACAAGTTTTTCTGATAAATGTCTCATATCCAAGATATATAAGGAACTAATTCCAGTTTTTAAGATTAACCATTCCATAACAGATATATGGCCAAAGAATATGAACAGAAAGTTGTCAAAGGAAGAAATCCAAGCTATCAACAATCATATGAAAAAATGCTCAAAAGCACTAATAATTAGAGAAATGCAAATTAAAGCCTCTTTGAAGTTCTACCTTACACTCATCAGACTGTCAAAGATGACAAAACAGTTACGTATATAATCATTCTCTGGGTTGGGGAGGGAAAGGCATACATGGGAAAACTGAAATGATGTAAAAACAAAACACATTGTTTTTTAAAAAGAGATAAATAATGAGACTATAGTAGGAAAGCATTAAGATAGCAAAATGATTCTATTGTCACCAAATCATGTGCAGTGATACCTCAACTGATATATCCCCTATGGGCAAAGCTGCTTTTAACAAAGCTAGTCATCTCCTGAAAGAGGTTTGGGGAGACCCAGTCTTCTTAGAATTGGGTCAATCGTGACCATAATAAAGCTGATTATAGTGACCCTGCATTATTGTCTCATGGGTAGTCCAGAAATTGCGCCTGATTACAGCCCTGACTGAGAGATAGCCTGCATTCCTAGGGATCTCCTAGAATAGTCACATAAGTCACCAACAAAGATTAGTCTACTTGCATACCTCTAAGTCAGGGGCCCATCACATGGAAAGCAGGAGCTCAGGTCTTGTGGATTGTGGAGTGCTTTAGATAATGAAATAATATTCAAAGACTCTCATTCTGAGGTCACTCTGTGATCTCCCTGATAGGACTGTTTCCTCCAATGATGCAGATCACTACTCATCCATGCCTGCCCATCCAGTGTGATTCAGAACCATGATGTCTCATACTTTTGTCAAAAGAGGTCCACCTAGCATGTTGGAGACCTATCTCACATTCCTTTGACATCATTAAATTACATCAATAGAGAATATGGACTGCCCATTGGTTGTCTCTCATTCTTATGATGTGATTAGCCCTTCTTTTCCATTTAAACATTTATTTAATGACATACTTTATGCTTTCTCTCCTTCATAATTCCTTCATAACATTGGTCTCATTGATTTGATTACTGTAATGTGTTGCAGTTTACTCATACCCACCATGAACCTTTCCATTGCCCTCCAGGCAAATGGAAAATAACACTTATATTCAATTACTCAAATACTGTGTTTCCTAGCCACACAATTAACTCCAGAAGAATTTTGAGATTGAAAAGTTGGAGGGCAGCTAGGTGGTGCAGTGGATAGAGCACAGGCCCTGAAGTCAGGAGGACCTGAGTTCAAATCCGGCCTCAGACCAAACACTTGATATGTACTAGCTGTGTGACCTTGGGCAAGTCACTTAACCCCAATTGTCTCACTAAAAAAAAAAAAGTTGGGTCTTTGTTTAAGGGATATTTGCATGAACTGACATGAAGTGAATTAAGAAGAAAGAGAATAACATATATAATGGACAAGTTAATATAAATAATTAATAACATTAAAAAACATCAGAGCTCTAATCAATGCAATTTGTCAATCTTGCAGAATGTAGGATTTTATTTTATTTTTTAAATTTTTGGGGGCAATTGGGGTTAAGTGACTTGCCCAGGGGCTAGTGTCAAGTATTTGGTCTGAGGTCAGATTTGAACTCAGGCCCTCCTGACTTCAGGGCCAATGCTCTATCCACTGCGCCACCTAGCTGCCCATTGCAATTACCAGTCTTCAAGAGGTAAAAGATGATTGTTTCAGAATGAAACATACACTGTCAGGCAATCAGTTTACTAATTTCTTTTGCTTAAGTGTTTGTGGTTTGTTGTTGTTTTGTTTTTTAATTGGTAGAGGACAGCCTTCATTCTACCTATAAGCAAGAACCTGTAAAGAGATATAGAAAATATATAAAGAACTCAAATGCCCCATAAAACCCACTTAGAAGTTCAAGTTGCCATCAGGGCATACCTTTGACATTCAGGTAGATCCCCATCTCTTCCACAAATCCCGGCATATCACATCTTCTCCCCAAAGACTTGTGCCTTCTTATGGTGTAGAAGCCATGTGGTAGACAACCACTTTTTGGGACTGCTAGCTATGTAACCCTTTTCCCATAAGAACTATACTAACAAATGACTCATTATAATGGTGGTGGTAGCAAGTTCCAGATCTCTTGGCCCATCTCCCTTGCCATGGCATTACTCTGCTGTCATAGGTGCCACGTAAGACCCTCTTTTCTTCCTCTAAATAGGGGCCAAAAACTCAGGAAGTTCCTATCCTTTTCTAGAAAATATGGAATTCAGAATTTGGAGTTACTCATGAAACAAACCCAATGCTGATATCATCCCAGAAATCTCTCATCTCTGGCTAGAAGGTCAGATTCCGGGATTATGCTGTCTAGGAAATTAAGGCTGGGGTTCAGAAACATTGCCCATGAATTAACCTCATGGGCCATGTGGACAAGACCATATCAGTTTATTCTCTGTGCTTCTGCATGAACCCATTGACATGGCTGATGCCATCTTTAGGTCAAGAATGTCCACTGTCAGGAATTCTTTCAAATCACACCAACAAGCATTTGTTTACCTTACCACAATTTTCCATTAATTTCTGGGGAATACAGTGGATGAATCAGGACTCCTTCTTTCTTTCTCATCCCTGAAGAGAAGCCCAAGGGAAAAGGAAAAATATCATAAAAGAGAAAGAAATAATTCTTCCTTGCTATATGTGAGGGAGAGTTTGGGAAGGGATAGTAATATAGAAAAATGCATTAGACAATCACTATAAAATAAAATTTGAAAGAAAAGAAAAATTTCCTAACAACCAGAGCTATCCAAAAGTTGAATGAACTTCCTTAGGAAATAAGGTTCCCCCTCACTAACAAGACTGGATGATCATTTGTTAAGTATGTGGTAAAATGGCTTCTGTGTTATTGTTGTTGTTGTTGCTGTTGTTATGATATGGGTTGTCCTGAATGACCTCAAAGTCTTATCCCAAAATCGGTGTTTGTGTTTCAAAGCATCTTACTAGGGAAGAGTATTCCCAGCCTGGTCAATTGATCAATCAAGAAGTATTTATCAACTGTCTATCTATAAGGCACATGCATGTCAGTTTGGGCAGAGTGGAAAATC